TCCACATTTTAAGAAAGATATGGAAAAGATGGAGGAGGTCCAGTAAGCAAGTTACAAAAATGATAAAGGGGTTGGAAGGCAAGCTGAACAAAGAAAAGTTGAGACAGCAAAGGTATAATTAGCCTGGAGACAAGGAGATTAAGGGAGGACAGTTTTCAAATATAAGAAAGACTGCCACCAGGAAGAAGGAGAAAAACTGTTTTCCCTCACTGCAAAGGGCAACAGGTCTAAACAGCAGCAAAGCCAATTTAAATAAAATCTCAGAAAAAAATCTTCACTTTCAGAACAGAAGGACAACAGAAAAAGCTGCCAAGGAAAGTTGTAGAATCTCATTCATTGGAGGTTTTCAAGGGGAGACTGAGTCAGCACAGGACTGAATTGTTTAGGGATAGCATTCCTGTATTCATGCAGGGAGTTGGCCAGATGAGCCCTGAGGTCCCTTTCAACCCTATGATTCTATGGTTTGGGTAGTGCCCTCCCATTCCTTTGCTACACTGGTCGAAGATAAAATGATGATGGGACAGGCAGAGGAAAATGAGGTGGGAAGAGCAGGCAGAGCTAGTACTTGTCTGGGTTGCTTCAGTGGCTAATCAGGGATTGTGTCTTGGTGCAAGATAGCTGACTGAGGTTTTATGCAAAAAAAATTTGATCGGGGAAGCAGTTTGAGGAGTGGACAGATGCTTTATTGTGACACAGACTACTAGGGTAGGGCTGCTGTTCTGTTTCCAGTGCTTTGTGATTGCCTTGTAGCACATTTGGCCAGAGTGGTGTATTCAGTTTGTGCTTGGCTATAAAGGTGTAGGCCAGTGGTGGTCAACCTCTCCATCCCCACTGTATAGGAAAAAAAAAAAGACCCCATGTACTGGCCCTGGGTCATTTGCCATGGCTCTGGGAGCAATTAATGCTGTTACTGCTCCCTCACTACCAAATTTCTAGACCTGTGGGGAGCCCTGTGGCCCAGATGACACAGCCCTGCAAGCTGGAACTAAGCCACAGACCGGAGGTTGAACACCATTGGTATAGGCTGTTTCTTTGCATCTGTACTGTTGTCATCTTGTGTTTGGCTTATTCAGTGTGTTCTGCCTGGGGTCCAATCACTACAATTTTCTGTATTGTTTTGTATCAGGAAATATATCTGAAAACCATTCCAGGAAGATCAGCTCATGCAGAATGCAGCAGACAAATGCCTTTGTTTAGTGAAGCATCTCTTAGGGAGCACACGGTATCATTCATCTCTGCTGATTTCCAGGATGTTTTTGGGTTTAGTTCAAGATGTTGATTTTGACCAAAAAGCTGTGAATAAGTTTGGTACATGCCTGCCTGAGAAATTGCTTCTTACCCTCGTGACATCAGCTGACACTCCAGGGCAGACCCTCCACTAATTGAATTGGAAGGGGGCTGCAAGGTGAGAGAGGGCTCCTTGAACTCACTGCTACTCTTGGTCCAAAAAAGTCTGATTCTGTTGACCTGAGGCTCACAGTTTTGAAGAAAGTGTAGGTTAGAGGAAGTGATTCCTGCTTATTCTGTCTAATCTATTTGTATCTGTCTGTCTAGGATATTTCTAGTGCACATATCACCTTGGTATCTAAACACATTCCCCAGATGACCAGGGCCCTTCTTTTTAATAGTCTTTTCCCACTTCTCTTAACTTCACTAGTTTGTTTAATAAAGTTGAGAATTGCACAGGGTTTTATAAACATGTGTTATTAGATTTTAAATCTGTTTTGAAAGTGCCTCTATCCAACTCCCTCCTAGTAAAGTGACCTTTTTAAATGGAGGGAAGTGGGTTTAGATGACAGTCATGATAAATGCGGTCATGTTCACTCAATAAAATAAGGCCCAGTGCATTTGAGGATAAATCAGTGAAATGTACAGCCCCACCTGTCTGTCTCCATCATTCATTTCCACTGTCACTTTCACAGTGGCTGATGGATCACAGTTGCTGTAAAATTAGACAGCCTTTAATCTCATTTCATCCTGATTAGCTTCTCTTTACCCTTTCCCTCTAACTCACTGACTGACACGCTAAAAACTCACACTGGGCTGTGTTTGAGCGTAGCGTACAAACTTCTCTTCAAATACCCTTTCTGTGGGGCAAGCAGGTGTTTCCTTGAGTTGAAATTTAAAAATGAGAAGGTCTCAGACTAATGTTCAAATAAATCAGCAGGCAAAAGGACCGCTACAGAATTAATAAAAGCTGTGGTCTGTTTGGCCAGGCTATGTGGGAGGCCCAATTCTTCCCTAGTTACACTTTTACAAGTCAATGATTCCAATAGGACCGCTGCTATTAGAGGCTGACCAGTTCCACCAATTTTGATTCTTCAGTATGAAAAACTACATCTCACATAACAATAAAGCATTTGTTTGTAAAAAGTTACATTTTAAAATTAAAGTTTTATTTCTCCCCTGTAAAATCTGTTTATTCCTATAGTTCTTGCTCATTAGCATAGTACAAAATGACGAGGAACACTGAAAATGCCCAAGTGTAAAGAATGGAACATTGAGCATTTTGCAATTCTAGTGCAAAAAAAAAATTCCTTTCAGATCTTAACTGTTATTTTACCCTCCATAGATTAGAAAATACTCACTGAGCCCACAAGGAGCTTATAAACTGCAATACTGCTGTCAAGATGCATGTGGCTTGGAAAGCAGAACTATGCCCCTAATGCCATAGGAGACAGAGGACACAACAGAATTAGTGTAGTGCCTCATTGTGGTCATCTTTTCACTTTGGGCCTGATCCTGCAGCCTTTCCTTATGTAAACTTTCTGGTAATTTTATTCTGAGTAACCATTAAAATGGTGATGGCAGGGTTTGGGGTCATTAAGCCCAATCCTGTACCAGTGGGAATTTTTCCACTGAGTTATGTACGGGCAGAATTAAACCCTTATCATTCCAGATTTATTTAGTTATTTATTTTATTAGATTTATATTATCCTTCTGAAAGGGAATCTTAATAGATACATGATAGTTTATATGTATGAGAATGGCAGATAAGCTTAAAATATTGTTTTTTCTCTATTGACCCTACCAATGTGGAGGATAAACAAAGCATTTGCAAAAATAAAAACCAAAGGGCAACAAATATGTATGTGTACTGTGTGGGCATTGCGCTTGTTGATAACTGCTCTATACGAGGACAAGGGAGTCACGGGCCGTGGTCATGGATTCAAATCATTGGCTTAATCCTAAATTAAAAAAATAACAGTTGCAGAGTGGCTAAGAACTGATGACCCTGCCTACTGGAACTGGAGAGTATCTGATTAGCATTTAGGGCAAGCAACACCCGCACTCAGCATTCAAAAGAGATCACCCAGTGTCCTCTGGAGACGCTATCTTGTCTTGCATCCCATGCTGCATTACAATGAAATAGTTGAAGCCCAGTTTATCAGGTGAGGTTTAAAATGGGGAAAAAGTTACTGGGATTTAAAGAACAGGATAATTATTTGTATTTGGGAGAACTACTGCACAGTGATTTATAAGACATCAAAATCTCTACTCTTTGAAGCCTTTCATTGTGCTAGAAAGCTATTACTAGCAGTTACTTGATTATATAAAATTTACCAGTAGCAAATAACATTAATTAATCCATTTCCACTAAACCAGCCTAATTTAAGAATTGCTTCACTTATATGACTTGTAAGAGCACAGACTATGAAAATGATATTCGACCTTTACTGGAAACTAAAAATGTACCTTGCTTATTCATCATTGCCTTGGCAAAAACTTCAGTAAGAGGCTTAAATGAGCCCACTTGGTCTTTAAGAAAATGTGTCCTAAATAACAAAGCTGTGCATATTTCTTTTTATTATTATTTGCATATGCTATACTGCACAACTGCAGTCTGAGAAAAATAAAAGATAATAAAACAAATGAAATGAGAGATATATCACCCAAAATAATCCAAGTGTGAGATAGGCTGCCTTTTCTGGCATTGGCAAAAGAGCACAACGTAAGAGCTGGCCCTGAGTCATATTGATTTCCCACTGCACTGGTTTCCTAAGTGCTCTGTTGATCCGTGTCAAGCAATAAGTTCCCTGCCTGTACATGCACATCACCTCCCCATTTGTCCTCACCTAGATTTAAGGTGCCCATATGATGAGCTGAACAAGGACATCATTTTTCCTACTGGTGTCACTGGGCCAAAACTACTATGTGTGGTATGATAACTGATGCTATGTAAGTTTACATTTACTGTATGATATTACAAAAATGTTGCATAGCACAGTACAGTACATATTATATATATAAACAGCATATTTTTTTACTTTAGCTCATGCTGAAGAAATTGTAAATGAATATAAAAAACAGAATGTTGTGATTTTATAAAAAAATAATTCTACTACCTCCAAAGAAGGATATTGTAAACCTATTACCACAGTTTTGATCTTTCTTAACAAAGGGCTTCCTGATTAGATGAATAGAAAATGTGTGATTGTGCTGCTAATGACATTGTACAGGAAATTAAGCGTATACATTTGGAGAAGGCATTAAATCAGCAGGACCTTAATTTAAAAACTTAAAACTGTATGGAAATGCAGCTTGTTCATTGCTGTGTAATAGAAAGCTACTGAACACACTGACTCTTCTTGTGGAAACACTGCCAACAGAACAAAGCTGGGCTGAGGTTTTATAATGTTTCCTAGCATCCTCTGTTTTATTTTCAGGCAATATCACAGCTTCACCCATTTTGGTGTGTCTTATTTTTAGAAAGTGTGCAAGTCGGACAGGTGTATAGAAAGTAAGAAAGCAGAATTTATGTAACCCGGTTATTCAGTAATTTACAAGATTGAATTACATTAAACTAATATTAAACCACTGGATTTTAGCTGCTCTTAATTCACTGGACATACATATTTGGAATAATGCATTCCCTATTATTTTGTGGCTATTCAGTTCCAGTTTTGAGGTCTATTTTTTGTACCATTGTTAAAGTTAATAATTTAAATAACCAGTGTGCTAAAACACAGCTTGACAAAGAATGCTTGTTTTATTTGCAGTTATGCCATATAATAGTGCCCATCACTGTGTTGTGGAAGTTGAAAACTTCTTGTTCGTATTGGGAGGAGAAGACCAGTGGAATCCTAATGGTATGTACATAGACAGACAGATAGATTCTCACCCTGATCTCTTTTAATGCTATCTAAAGCATCAAGTGATGCAGCAGTTACTGAATAATTTTGAAGATCCTTGACTCAGTTGTTGAACTAGTCAAGACCAGTTATGTCTCAGCAATGACACAATAAATATCTGGAGCTTTAGCTTCTCCATCATTCACCAGTTCCCTTATCCCTTGAGGAAAGCCACAGGCAACAGAACAAACTCTTTCAAAGGCAGATACAAGGCAACAGCTGTTAAGAATTTTAGCCCCTGTTCCCAGCCCCTTTCCAGTCATAACATAATAATGTGGCTGCAGTAAATGAATGCTCTCTCTCTATTGTTAAACAAGATACTTGCAGCTAAAGTTGTTAATGTGTTAATTATCTAGACTCCTAGACTCTTACACTAGTCCTTTTTTCTAGTCTTGCACAAGAGCTTCCCATATAGATTATCTTCTGCTACCTTCTTTTGATTTGATTACTCCATAAATTTACTGAAAAGAGAAATTAAACAATTTAACAGGCTTCTGAGCAAAGCAAAAGGAGAATACTGTGCCTTGCAAAATTCACAAAATTGTCAGGGCAATGTTAAAAAGCTTGCACATGAAGAAAGAGTTGTAGTTGTAGCAGTCTGTGTAACAGAGATAATTATGACTGAGAAACTATAAAACAGCTTGCAGGTACACATTTTTACTTTAAAACACCAGAAGATCCAGCTGAAATTACATATACTGCATATATTTTATTGTGAATGCCCCATTTCAGCATCTGCACTAAACCAAATTATAGAAAATTGTTACATCTGTTCACTTCCTAAAATCAGAGACAAACAACCTAGTCCACTCTATAAGCATATTTCCGGTGTAGTTAAAAAAAATCACTAAGTGTCTTAGGAGAAAAACCCTTAAGCACTTATTGTAGGATCTCTTATATATTCAGCAGAAGATGTCACAGTATTATTATTATTATTATATTATTATATATTATATTATTATTATTATTATAAACTATCTGCAGCAAACTGACAGGTGAACAAGCCAGCGAAGGAAGGGTGGGGGGTGGGCGCTGATAACAATCCTTATCAATCACTCAATTAGCAAAACAATAGCCTCTCTCCACATTACTTCAGAATTCTTTAATTATTAATAATAATAATTATTATTAATAATAACAATAATGTTAGATTAATATCCATTGTCCCCATCTGAGATTGGGGCCCCATTGTGCTAGGCACTATATGTATGTATTTGTAAATACATACAAACATTACATGTCTACTGGTGAAATAATCTCTACCAGTTCAAATGTGTACAAATGTGTTCTGTGTACAAACATGCATAGGGCTTCAACTGGTTAAAAATATGCAGAAGTGATGGAAATCTCGACCATATTGGACTAGGCTGAAATCTAAATTGATTGGGGTTCAAGTGTTTGAATGAACATTTGTATACCACCCCAATCAAATAGAGCCACTACAGTGCCCAGTGGTGACAATTAGAGCCACTGCAGTGCCCACCCCAGCATGCCTTGCTCCCGCCCACCACCCAAGGGAGATGCTCTGTGACTCAGGCTGTACTGATAACAGCTGAGGGGCTAGGAATGTCCAGCTTTTCTCCTTAGCTCCTACCCCCCTACCATGTGTGTGGCTGAAGGGTTAGGGACAGACATTCAAAAAGCCTGAACCTGAACTGATTCAATCTTTACAGGTTAGTTTAACCTGGCTAGGCTAAATCAGTTTGTGACCCAGACAGACATCTCAGAAATGCAGTGGCTCAGGACAGAAGCCAGGGGGTGCTAGAGCAGCCCTCCCTTCCCTTCTGCAGGGAGCTGAGCTGAGGGGGATGTGGCCAGGTCCCAGCAGGACTCTCTCATTAGGGATGTCTGCCTACACTGTCCCAAGCTTTTCCCTGATGACTGTTCAAGGGGTGGGAGTGTTGCCAGCCCCCAGCCCCATCCTAGTCATCTGAGGCAAGATGGGGTGTGCAGTGCATGCATCTGTTAATGATACGGAGCTTTTCAATCTCCCTCCCTGCTTCGTCATACTATCTACAGCAAACTGACAGGTGAACAAGCCAGCGAGGAGGGGTGGGGGTTGGGGGGATGCTATAACAATCCTTATCAATCACTCAGTTAGCAAAACAGTAGACTCTCTCCACATTACTTCAGACTTCTTTAAACAGCTTACCAGCTGACCTGTTGATTAGCTCCAAAAGCCCTAAGCATTCACTATTCTGTCTTCCTGTCCCAGTGAAATTGAAGAGAGAGAGACACACCCAAACAATTATCGGCATTAGCTAGCAAACCACATACTTGCTACGGTCCCTGCTGTGGCAGAGGAGGAAAGGAGCTCTGCTTAATCAGCGAGTGGTGAGAGGGTGTGGAGAGGGGGGCACAGGGAAGCCAGAAGACCCTGGTGTGCCTGCAGGTCTGTGCCGAACTGCAGCCAGGGAGCAGATGGGAGTGGCTAGCTCTGCTGTGGAGCAGAGAGCCCCAGCCAGCCCAAAAAGCATTCCGGCATGCTGGGGGAGTCTGATATAACTTAAACCAGCAAGGGGTTTGGGACAGACATTGTATAAACCAGTTTGAGCCAAATCAGTTAAGTCTGATACTACATTCAACCAGATTTATCTCAAACTGCTTTCAAACTGGTTTATGTGCATTGAACTTCTGTTCTGTTACAGGTTTAAACCAGTTTCTGATCACTTAACTGGTTTATGTGTAATGTCTGTCCCTAGCCAAAGTGTGCAGTTTAATGTGCTGTGGGCTGGGAAGGAAGGGGTTGGAGATTCAGCCCTGTAGTACTTCAGAGTCCTTTGTTTGCACCCCCATTCTGGTTGTGGGGGCTGCAAGCAAAGAGCTGTCAAATCTTGCAGGGGGGATCTCCCTTGTGGCACATTAAACCCTGAGCTAGTGTCCCCACACATAGGACTGCAAATGTGGAGAGACGGTAGAGAAATCTACCTCCCACACTCCTCATAGGTAAATTAAATGCTGCAAGCTTTGGGGCTTCAAGTGCAGGGTTTAATGTGTGCCATGTCTGCAACCCAACGCAGGCCCCAATTGACTCGGGTGTGGGAGAAGGGCTCTGAAGTGTGGCATTGGGTTAAATGCTTCCCCCCCAAATAGGGCTTAGTGCTCCGAGCTCTGGCTGCTGTAGAAGAGCTTCCTGTGGCCAGAGCCCCAGCAGCACAGCAGGGAAAGCTCCTCCCCCACCATGACCAGAGCTCCAACTGTGTCTGCGGTGGTAGGGGAGCAGTCCTAGCTGCCTGTGGGCAAAGCCCCCGACCCCAGCCACAGCCCCAGCTTCAAAAGACAGCTGTCAGGGAAAGTTGTGAGGAGGATGGGGTGGTCTCTTGGGACCACAAGCTAAGCAGCCCTGACTTATCGTCCCCTGGGCTGCTGTCACCTCTTTCTAGCTGACAAAGCATGCTGGGATGCATGCTCTGGAGCCTCCTGGCTGGGTGTTGTCAGCAGTGCAGGCTGTCTGCAGGGCACACAGGCAGCCCTTTGCACATATGTAGTGGTTTTACCGGTTGAATTTCAAATGGCTTAAACTAAGTGGCTGAACTTCAACCAGTTGAATTGAACATTTGTACATACCCTATATGACTATATATATGTCTATACCATAGTAAGACACAGTCCCTTCTCCAAAGATTTTATAAAAGAATAGTTATTCCAAATAAAGAGTGCAGGAAGTGTAATTACCCACATTTTGCATGGAAACTGAGTCATAAAGATTAAGTGACTGGAGCAGGCATGAAATCAGTGGCAGAGGCAGCAGAACCCAGATCTCCTGTCTGTATTAAGAGATTTATACCATCTTTCTCAGTACCTTAACGCTAAGGATATCTGAATCAACTATTAGAGTCAGAAGGGCTTCCCCAGATATAAGACACTGTGCCTGGAACGCATAGGATTCAGATGATCATTCCATATAAATATTAAATAAATGATTTATGGGAATAATGAAATTGGATGATCACCAATATCGATGATCTCCATACTCTAATAAAGATGTATCTTATGCATCAGGAAAACATGAATAACATGAGTACTTTGTCTAACTGCTGGACTTGTTTCTTTGAACTGATTTAAAATAAATGGGGCATTTCATAACAACGCACACTATTCTCCCAATTACATTTATTCTAAGGCCCTTTTCTATCATTCTGGCTGTGTAAAAGGGAATTAAAATAGGTGTGACTGTAATTGACCTGCCAGAGTACTAAAGAGACTGCATTTATAAGTGAGAATTTCTTGAGTGCTTTTCATGTGAATCAAAATGAGAACTTTAAAGCTGTTTTTTGTTAATTGGAGAGGTACTCCCTTTACATTGGGAAAAACCTGGCAACTATTGGCATAAGCCACCAAACCAGGAGATAACTTACAGATCCTGTAAAATTTCTATAAAGAATCCATGGACCCTGCACAATGATCTTTGGGGTCCTCCTCCACCCAGAGATCATGGGAGGGTGCAATTTCTCACTGCTACCTCCTCTAATGGCTATTTGGAATCAGCTACAAAGGAGGCCTGGAAATGTTGATGGGATTACCATTGAATATATATGGTGGTTGAATGCCATCAGGTTTTCGTCTGCCCATTTTCTGAGACTGTCAGGGTCAGCCTGGATCATCATCCTGTCCTCGGGTGTGGACACTATACCCCAAAGTTTGGTGTCATCAGCGAACTTGACCAGTCCGCTTCTGATACCAATGTCCACATCATCAATAAAGATGTTCAAGAGTATAGGCCCAAGGACGAACTTTGGGGGACCCACTGGTCACGGTGCACCACGATGATTTACTTCTGTCAACTACCACTCTCTGGGTTCGCCCTCGGAGCCAATTCCCCAGCCATTGGACTGTGATGTAGCTGAGGCCACAGTTGGCCAGTTTTTCTATGAGATGATCATGGGATACCAGATCGAAGGCTTTTTAAAAATCTAGATATATGACATCAATCTGCTCTCCCTTATCCAGGTGATATGTCACCTGGTCATAGAAGGAGATGAGATTGGTGCCCCCTCTTCCCTGTCTCACGTGCCAGGTGGCTCCAGTTGCGTCGCTCCCTGGGGGACTGGGACAAGTAGGAACTGGGAGGTGGGGTGACCCTTCTCGGCTCCACTCAGCTGCCCCGCAGCTAGGCTACATCCCTTCCACCACCATAATACCATTAAAGAGCTCTAAGGACACAGCAAATGAAGAGGTCTTTGGTTTGTAATATTTATAGCAGTATTAGAAGCATCCAAAATGGAAACTGATGCTTGTATTCAGTATCTACTAGGCACTGATCTATAGGTGTCTATAGATCAGTGCTGGAGGAGGGTGGGGAGGGGGCGAGGGACGTTGGAATTAGAGTACCTGCAGCATCTTGTGTATAAGCATCTCCATGCTTCAAAATGGTGGCGAGGGTGCTTTATCTAAAGCTCTTTGACAAGCTTTAGATAAAGCCTCTCCAAGGCCATTTTGAATCCTGGGGATGCTGATACATGAGACATGGAGGTTAGCTGGAGCACGGTAATTACCACCTTCCAGCAGAGTTGATTAATCGAGTCTGCTCCAACGCACTGTAATTACAGTGTATTAGAGTAGTCTTTGCGCTCATGTATGGACATGCTATATTTCTATTCTCTTGTTGCATTGAATATATAAACAAATAAACTAAAAAAAGAAAACTGGAACTAATATGACATGGACCCGCCCCTGCCCTGGTATTTTTCCTGACTGTTGCATTGTTGCCCCTAAATTGCATCTGCTTTTTTTCTTCATAGCTTGTAGGGACTGAGGGAGAGACAATAGGTAAATTCCTGGCCTTTCTGAAATCAGTAAGTTAAGATGTTGCCTGGCCCAAGATGACCTCATCCTAAAGGACCTAAAGACCTGGATCTGATAGAAACTACTGTACTATTCAGCAGCTGCCTACCCCAATTCTTTCAGCAAGCAGCATGCTCATATGCAATAGAGAAAATAAGATTGCTTTCAGGAGTCATCAACATATTTCTATGTAGAATGTGACCTTAAGTATTTTGAATAAAAACTCTCTGAGTATATATTTTTTTCTTATGTATGATCCAACTATTTTACTAACTTAGCTTGTAGCATGTGTACATAGGTGTGTGGCAGAGGGTGTCAACACTACAGATGTTTTGACAATGTAAAATATTTGCCCTGTACAATATCCGCTGACCGTTTATATAACGGTGACATACGTGTCTGGGTTATTCTGCTGTCTTTTGGAGCCTCTAATTCAATTTTTTAGTCACACTTACATAAACAAAGGTTTCTTTTTCAGAGACCCTCATGTGTTGAAGTCTCAGGTGTTACACAGAAATTGCCATGTACTCTTTGCTTCAGTCTTCTTGCTTTGTTGTCAATCTGCATGTAAAATAATTTGCAGTCTTAATATCATGAAAACATGAATACAATTCTGGGGCTTGACAGCAGGGATAAGCTAGTTAACTGACTTATGTTGCTCATGTTTCCCATTTTTAGCTAACACACATTGAATAAGACTCTGGGAGTATATTCTCCCCTAAGTGCACAAGTATACCTCCTACTAACTTATATCAGAGGAAGATAGAATAAACTTAATGTAAAGGCTGTACAGTTTATGCTTATGGTTTGTGTAGGTCCTGATATTTAAGCAAAACTTTTACACTGCTCCAAATAGAAATGAAGTGGGGAGGAAAAAGTACAGGTTCTACCTATGATTTTTCAACCTGCCACAAAATCCTCCAGGCATAAAGATGTCATGGAGAAGCCCCTTCTTGGGATAGAACTTGGTATTGTGTAATGATTTATGGCAGAGTTGAAAACACTGGGACATCTATTTTAAATACCGGTCTTGAACTTCATATTACAGAGAGGAAGAAGAATCTTTACACATTCTTACTTATGCCATTGACACTTGCTAAACCAAATACTGTAGTACCCAATTACTTGAATTATCATTGTACATATACTGAGATTATTTAGTATTATAAAGATGAACCCATCGTAAAATCTGCCAACTTGTAAAATATAATAGCAGCTTTTACAATAGCGATGCTAAATACATGAAATAAACCACTATCAAAATAATCTATCTTTGCAGGGAAACACAGTACAAACTTTGTCAGCCGATACGATCCCAGGTTTAACAGCTGGATACAACTCCCACCGATGCAAGAGAGGTAAAAACCTACTACATACTTTTAAGTATTTGTTATGTTGTCCTAAAAGGAGCTGAGGATTAGCTTAGTTTTGGAAGAAGGGAATCCTAAAACATCAATAAAGAGCTAAAGATACAGTCTCAGTGGGCTGATGCTGTTCTTTATACTCCTAACTTTACTGAAACATTCTAAATTCAAATTTCTGGGGGCCATGTTCTGAAATGTCAACACGTGCAAAATATCCATTGACTTTATGCTGGGAGAATTGTCTCAATAGTGATTACAGGATGGTGCAGATATATGTTCTGTCATGTTCCCTGAGCCAAATGGCACATAGAATATGCAGTAGACACCTGATGATTACTGTCAAGTGTCTGTTATAAGCAACTGAAACCTTCATGTGCCAGTTAGTCCCCACAAGGAGGAATTTTTCTACCACTTCAGCAACGCAAAGGTATCCTGCACCTCAGCGGTCTTTGTGTGGTCTTCCAGAAACTATGGCAGCCGATACAGATTAGAGCAGCATTCAGTTCATACTTTCATTTTGTATGAGGAGTGGCTTTGGCACTAGCACAGAAGCAGGCCCAGTGAGATATAAGCAAGGATCCGGGTTTTCCAGTTGCCATGGAAAAATGCAAATTTTCTCCTTTAAAGAAGAAAAAGAAGAGAAACCACAGGTTTCCCCTTGCAGGCTGGCGGAATTCTGGGGGGGAGCAGGCTGGGGGGAGCAGGACGCAGGGGGCAGTACATGCATGTGCACGTGTGCACGCATGCACGTGGTGCCCCCTGGAGAACAGCTCTCGCAGCTGCCTGCAAGTAAATCTATGGGGAGGAGGGCACATAGGTGGGGTGGGGAAAGGCAAAGCGAGCCCCCATGATGAGGGGGACAGTGGGGCAGGGTTGACCTGGGTTGTACTGTCCAGTGGTGATATGGTCTACATGTCATATCCATATACAGGATTTACCTTTGTAGTTGTCAGGAATACTGTGATAGATCTAAGACTGATCTGGACTACCTTAGCTCTACATTTCCATATTTACAAATACTTGGGCATCTTTTTCCTGTTTTTGGTTTTTTTTTACTTAGAAAAGCAGTGTTCTGTTTAAGGCAGGGATGGGCAATTATTTGGACCGGAGGGTCACTTAAGGAGTTTTAGTGAGCTGTTGAGGGCTGGGGAGGGTGCTTACCCCTTCATGGCTGTTTACACTGGCTGACATGGTGGGGTGGGGAATGCAAATTGATCCTATCCACCCCCAGGCTTGTCTGCCCCACACCTACTGTCAGGGGCACCAGATGGAGCAGGTGAGCAGGTAGGTAGGTGGGCTCTCCATGGAAACAGGCCTGGGACCCCCATAGGCAGGGTGTGCTCAGCCTGGTGGATGTAATGGGGCTGCAGGCGGTGGCAGCACAGGCCTGAGGCAGACCCACAGTCCACTCCCTGCACATCCCTGTGAAGGGCGCTGGTGCACTGGCCCTGGCCCTGCACTGTCGCTGCCCTGCAATCCTGCCCCAGCTCCAGTCCCATCTGCCCATGGCCCCATCCCATCCGCCTGGCCTAGTGCGCCCTGCCCACAGTGTCCATGGAGACACTGCCCACCTGCTCGCCCACTGTGTTAGTGCCCCCAGTGGTGGATGTGGGGCAAATGGGTCAGGATGCCTGGGCAGTGGGGCCAGGTCCAGCAGTGGCAGCAAAGACACTGGCAGTGGTACCTGGAGTGTCAGGGCAAGAACAAGCTGCCACTGCAGGGGCTGCCAGGAAGGCGAGTCTGGCTGCTGCATTGCCCCTGCCCCATCACCGTGCCACTCAGCCCCACAGACTACAGCCCCCAAGTACTTGAGAGCTGTGCACAGGTATAGGGAGGACTGTGCTATGCACCAAGTGGTACCTCCATGCCCAGGGGCAGCCTCCTGTGTCTGGGCCAGGTGAAACTGAGGGACCCACCATCGGCCAGATAGAATCACTTGGCAGGCCAGATCTGGCCCGTGGGCCCTACTTTGCCCACCCCTGTGTTAAGAACCTTAATTTATTTGTATACCTCTTTACAAGCTTTCCTTTTAAAAGGGTTTTGCTTCTGGGAATTATATGTGATGATAAAACATCTTACAGTTCTGTGATGGGGTATATAGACTAAGCAAAACTAGAAATGCCCAGCGCTCTAGGCATTCCTTTTAAGTGAATAGATATATGGAGGTCATTATCAGTGACCTGGAAGCTGGCAACATATTCTTGGGGAATCTGAAACTTTGGTAGTGAGCTTGATCTATCTCTTTGCCAGGGCCGTCCCCGGGCAGGGGGTGGAATTGGGGCAACTGCCTTGGACCCTGTGCTTTGGGGGTCCCCATGGACAGTGCCGTACAGGCCCCGCCATGGCCATTGTGCACCACTAGTTCTGTGCTCTGGCCGCTCGCTCCCCCTCATCCCCCGGCTCTGCACTCCAGCCGCTCGCCCCCTCGGCCCCACATGGCTGATATGCCCTGCCCACCCCTAGGGATGACTTTGCTCTTCACTAAGCATTATAAATACCTGGGAGCAAAACTCCTGAGAAGAGTATGGTTACAATATCCTCTCTCATATGACTACCCAGACTTAAGAACAGCACGTGTGACTGATTTTTGATTGATCAAATAAGCTTTGGATTAGGGAAGAGCCTTCTCAAACTCAAAATAGGAAAGCATTGGGTGGGAGCAGGGAGACAATAGTAGGGGGCTGGCCAGTTTTGTAACGGTAGGAAACATGGAGAAGGTTAATGTTAATATATGTTTGAGTGTAACCTTAACTTTGTGGAGTGTCAGAAACAGAGTATTCCTGGAGATTCTCAGCAGCACTCGATGTGATTGTGATAGAGAAGAGAGAGATGATCCAAGAAGGTGAAATTTAAATCTGTACTAGATATGGGGTTACATCTGAGGTAAATTCTGTTTTGGACTAAGATTTGGGTTTGGATTTAGTTGTGATGAAATTTTGATGAATTGTTCTTGTGATATCTGACGAAAAAGATTGGAAATCTTGTGGGGATTTAGCTATATCTGAACTACAACTAGAAAAGATGAGACAGTTTGTTTATAGGAGTTTAATTCTGAACCCTTCAGAAACGAAAAAGGGTTTAGATTTGATGAATCTCTTCAACACACCTAGAAAATGACTCCTTTACTGTTGACCCAAATGGTGGAGTGTAAAAATTCCACAGGCTCCTTCAGAATAGTAACCAGAATACAAAAGTAAGTTTTTTTGAGGGATCATCCAGTGATGGAAAAAATGTCATCAGGAGTTATTTTTTTTCTTGCTAGACTATAATGACTTGCTTAAAAAGTGCTAGAAGGTCTGTTAAGACAATAATTAACAGATAACACACCTGATTAAAGAGCTGTTATGCCATCTGATCCTCAGTGCCTTATTCAGGCAAATGCCTGTTAGTCAATAAGCTTTGTCTTTCCAAATAAGGAGTACAGGATCAAGTCCTCTCTCTCCTGGAATAATGCAGACACCATTGACAAGACAGACTATTTAATGGATCCTTCTGAATCATTGTAGTCCATCAAGTCAAGATCTACTTAGGGATTATAGTCTGTAGATAATCAGCCCGACAAACTATAATGGCATCTTTAAAATGTCTGTCAGGTAACTGCCAGTTGCATGCACAGGCGGTATATTCTTAAATTAAAAATCTGTATGAAATTTGGATGGATAAACTTTTATCTCCAATGCTAAAATCTGTATTAGACTGATTTCATTTTCTGAGTTATAAGGAAAATATTGAAATATTTAATCATTCCAATTTTAGATTCAGTGGTATGGAGGGGTGCACACTTTGTTTTGTTTTACTGAGAATTTTTCTGTGCAAAGATCATTTCAAAACTATTTGCCTGTGATAATACTTAGTACTTTCAAGCATAGCTCTTTAGTAAAAATACTAATTAAGTTGATCAGGGTGGGCAAAATACAGCCCATAGGCCAGATCCAGCCCACCAGACTAATTTATCTGCCCTGTGGGCACCTACCAATTAATTATAGGGTACCCAGCAATTAATTATAGTGTACCCTGCAGCCTACACACCTCACTCCCACCCTCATGGTTGGAAGGGCCCAGCCCAGGCAGCACATAGCTTCCAGCTGGGGCTCCTGCTGCCACTGCTGCAGCCTTGCTGCATCTTCCAGGGGATCTGCTCAGCTTCCCTATTGTCCCACTTACCCTGGGCACTGGGTAGGGAAGCAGTGGGAGAGAGGAGAGGGGGAGCTGCAGCTGGCTGGGAGTGTGGAGTGTAGGGATAGCAGCAGTGTGCAGGCCGCACCCAGGGGGGCGGTAGGAGTGTGGAGCTCAGCTGGGCAGGGTGTGGGTATGAGGGAGGATGAGGGGGTGTCAGGAGCCTCTTCACCCTCCCCACCCATGGTGCACAGCCCCCACTGCCAGTGGCACCACTGCACATGGTGGCAAGGAGCACAGCCAGACTGGCCAGCCTCTATCATTCAGGGCTCCCTGTGGTGCACACACAGCTCCTGGTACTCTCACGCCACCAGGGGAACCTGCATGCAATGGAACCACCTGCCTTCCCCACCCCGTGCTGTGCAGATCCCAGGACTCCACGGAAAGTGGAGGAGAGTCCTGCTTCCCAGTGGAGTCCTGGGACCTGCACAGCAGGGGGCGGGGAAGGCTGCTGGTTCTATTGTGCGGGGCTTCCCATGAGCTGCATGTACGCTGCACAGAACCCCATGTGCTTGAGGCAGGCTGGCCTGGCTGCGCTCCTTGCCACCATGTGCTGCACTAGTCAGAGCCATGGGCCGCCGGGCAGTAGTACCTGTGCAGGACATGAGCACCCCGAGCACCTGCCACTTGCTGCTGCTGCTGGTGGCAGGGGCTGTGTGCCACGGGGGGGGGGCGTTTGGGGGGATCCCCACACCCCCCCATCCTCCCACATATGGCACACACTTATACCCTGCCCCCACAACCCGCTTACATATACATCCCACAACATACCCTATTGCCCCCCCTGCACACACAGCCATACCTACTCACAAGCACCC